TGTAAATTCGAGTTTTCCAGATGGTCTCAGGTGACCCTGTGAATAGGTCATTCGTCCCACAGGTTTCGAACCACTGACATAGACCCTTGGGGAGGTAGCAAAGTCTAGTCAGTGGTGGCAAAAGCAGACCAGCCCCGTGCCCCACCCCCAATCCACACACAATTTGGGCGCTAAGAAGTAGCACGCTGGTCCAGGGGAGACTTTTGAGTCAGGTGGGGACAAGAGAGGCAAATGATTCCTCAGAATTCCCGGAGCAGGTTGGAGGAGGATGTCTCCACAGATAGCGCCCCGGAACTCCCTAGGCGGTCCAGGGTCCTTCACAGCTTGCCCCTAGAGTCAGAGGCAAACTTAGGCTGAGATGCAGAAGTGCAGACCCTAGGTAGGAGCTACCACTCAGGCCCTGCAGGGTCAAGACAAACAGCAGCATGAGAACGACCCTCCTTGCAAAAGCGCCTCTTGTTTTTAAAAACAAAAACAAAACAAAACAAAAAAAAACCCAAAAACAGATAAAACAGTGTTCCAGATGGAACCAAGGCTCTACAGAGTTTCATCCCTGGCCTCTGTAAAAAAAAAATTAAGTAAAAAGCTTAGTGGAGCACTGCCAAATGCCCAGAGCTCAGGGACCACCATAAGGTTCAGGGTGCCGTGTCTAACTGGGTTCTTCTAAGCATCCCCTGGGTTTTTAGAAATCAGTAATGACAGCAGCGATAATTCACCTTAATAACAGCCTGGTCTCCTCAGACTTCTTTCATGTGCACAACTCCCAGGCCAAGAAAACGGTAATTACGGAGCAGGTGCCACACCCCAATGATGATGTGTTATTAATTCATGAGCACTGGCTGGGAAACTGAGGCCGAGGGAGAAGGACGTTGTTCCAGTGGAAGAAGCAAGGTCCAGGTGCTGAGGGCTGCTGGGCAGTTGGGAGCCGGGGGTGTCGGCTGCAGGCCTGCACTTTGGGGAAGATGTCAGAGGCAGGTGCATTCACCCCAGAGGTGGGCTGGGAGGAAGGTAAAGGCAGACCCCAGATGTGTATCCCAGACTCACCCACACAGCTGCAGCAGGACCAGGTGGGCAGCCCTGGCAGGGAATTAGGGCCTTTGTCTGTGAGTCCCTGTTCCACTCTCCCGGTGTACAGGGAAGCAGGCCAATCCTTCTGCCCATCCTTAGAGGGCACTCAGGGACCACAAGGGTAAGAGAGGGTTCCAGACAATCCCACATCACAAGCACAGTACGGAAGAGGCAAGGGAGTGTCTGGGAGTGGGGCAACTGGTAGGTGGGCGTGGGGATCTATGCAAGAGCATGTCTAGAAGTGGGGAGACATTTGTGAGGCCCTGAGTTCAATCCCCAGAACAGGGGTGGGAAAGATCACTGAAAAACTTTCGGTTATCATTGTAGCCCCTATCCACCTTCGAAATGGTCGTGAAATCACGAGGTCTCTCCCACAGCAGCCCGTCTGCTCACTCCGGTGGGATGCTGCAGAGCATGCCCAGGAAGCCTGACAGTCAAGAGGGCAGGCAGAAAATCACAGCGGACCCTTTCCCACTTGTACCCAAGGAGGCAAGCTGCAAAAACTCAAATTGGGATACAGATACTGAGATTCCACAGATAGGCTGAAGCCCACTCCCGGGAAACCAAAAAGGCCAAGGCAGGAAGCCAGCCATGGTCTTGTCCTCTGGTGGCCAGCACGCGGTCCAGGGGATTAGAGGTTCTGTTCTGAGGGATTCAGAGCTTTCCTTCAGCCGGTCAGAACGCTGACCAGAGGCAGCACTTGGGGAACCCGAGGCCAACGCTCTAAATAGTTACCTAGGTTCAAGAACTGGCTTTCTGTGCCTTGAAGACAACCATTTCTCTCATGAATGAGAAGCCATGGCAGAAAGCAGCTTGTAAAACCAGAGACCAGAGGACTCCTGCCGTGGACACTCACCACCACACAATCACTTCCTACCTGGGTGTCAGTTTTCCCATTTGTGTGTGTGGGGGGGGTGCTGCTGAGACAGAGTCTCACTATGTAGCCCTGGCTGGCCCCACAGTTACATAGATCCGCCTGCCTCTGCCTGCCTCTGCCTCCGGAGTGCTGGGATTAAGGGTATGGGCCACCGTGGCCAGCTCATTCCTCCCAATTTTAACTTGAAGGCAGGCCTTGGACTAGCTTTTCTCTCAGATTCCTTCCAGCCTGTGGAAGCTCTGCATTGTTTTGAAGTGGTGGCAGATCTCAGGTTGATTTACATAAATTTGCATGTTCAATCAAAAAGCCCCAAACTCCAAGTATAGAAAATCCAATCAGTCCATTAGTGCAGCCAGACAGGCTTGGAGGAGCCTGCCAGGTTCAGGCCAGGGGTTGTCAAGGCAGACAGCAGGGCTGGAGGAAGCAGGAGTGAGGAAGGGCACCTGTTCTGAGAGACACCGCTCTCAGTGACTCAGGTCTGCATACCAGCGCCCCTCACCCCTCACTGAAGACTGTCCTCCCTCCATCACAGGGCCTGAGGCTGGCCAGCCTCGGAGCCATTCCTCAAGACGGGATTGCTGCTTCTGCCTAGCAACAGCTGCACCCTTCCCTCTGACAGGAACTCCACCAATAACTGCTTTCTGGGAAACTGACCTCGCTGGGAGTTTCCATTATCCATCTCAAGGGCTTCCCAACGGCGAGGGAGGTTTCTCAGGGTTTAACCTGCAAGCCCTCTGCTGAAGCCTCACCTCACACAGGCTGGCAGGGCTGTGTGGCTAGGGGGCTCCCCGGACCTGGGGAAGCTCAGGGTGAAGGACAGTGCAGGAGAATGTGATGCCACCACAACCTCCCACAATCCTCCTCTTCACCTGGGAGACCAAGGGTGGAAACAAGGCCCTCGATGCCTTCCTGCTCTTGGGCTGGAGAGCAAGTCCTGACCCAGAGCACCAGGGCCCTGAGAAAGCCCCAGCGCAGAGGAGAAACAGCAGGCAGTGGCAGCTGCTCCCTGGCGCTGGGGAGCTGGGGTGAGCAGAGGTGCTGCGTGCAGGGCCAGCATGCAGGATGGGCAAGCAGCGGCGCTCCTTGCCCTCTTCCCACAGGAGGGGAGGATCAATGCGCTGAGCTCCCTGGCTCAGATCCGAAAACAAGTCCCAACAGCTGAGATGCCTCCTGGGAATCTGCCCTGCTGGCCCTCGCGGCCTCCTCCTCTCTCAACCCCTCCCTCCCCAGAGAACCAACTGAAAGACCGGCCCAGTCATGAAGTCTCACCTTGTTGGGTGGGCCGAACCTGAGCCAGCAGGAGTTCATACCCCAAGGCACCCAGGGGAGCAGAAAAGGGCTATTCACAGGCAGAACAGAGTTCTGTTTCTCTCAGTTCAAAATTCTAATCCTAACAGACCGTGGCCCAGCATTCTGCCTCTCTTAAAGGGGCACCCTGTTGGAGGACCTTTCTCCCCTCTCCCAGTGGGAGGGATTTTTACATCTTTCTGGTCCTACCGTTGAGTTTTGAAGATGAAGTAAATTGCACCCAACAGAAGCAAACTATATTGCTCAAGGTCACAGAGCTCCTGACTCTACCCATCCTGGCAGCAACGCAGCAAGCCCCCACCCTAACACACACACACACACCGCTCCCCGCCTTGTGATGGTGGAGCGCATCACCTCTCTGCAGCCCAGGACAGGAACCTTCCTGTCTAGGCTTTTACTCTCTCCCAAGGCTGGAGCTGCCCAATACTACAGAGCCAAAGACCTCAGGCGATGGAAACCAAACCAAACCATCTATGTGCAAACACTTCTCTAGACAAGAAACCCTAACTCATCTCACACAGGAGATGGGGTTCAAAAACCTGAGAGCTTTCGGGCCAGATCTGGGGGGAGTGGGTCCTGTAAGATAAAAGAGGGTCTACAACAAAGCAACTGTGCAACGTTCACTTCCCCTCGAGCACACAATAGTTAGAGATTCCTTCCCCACCGTTCCTCACACCAGTCCTGGTCCCCGGCCTCTGTCTCCAACCACTTCCTCTGTCTGACAATTGTGTTTAAGCAGGAGGGCCCACTAGAGACGGGGAGAGCGAGCTCGTGGTAAGGGAAACCAGAGACTGCCGCTAACGCTAAGGAAGCCCTCGAGCCCAAGACCTCCGGCTCTTGAGGAAGGCGGGTCTTCAAAAAGCAGCTGCTGGGCAGGTGGGGTGGGGTGGGTTCGACCGAGCCCTCGGGAAAACCAGACCTATGAGGAGAAGGCAGCCTTCTGTGCCCTTGGGACAGCGCAGGGCTAGAGAGGCAAGAGCGGCCTTCCACCCAGGATGTAAAGAGAGGGAGTTGGGGGTCCCAAAAACCTCTTTCCTGGGCCTGCTAAAACCAAGAGGATGTCAGGCACAAATACATTCTCTGCATTCTTTCAGCACCCCAGCCAAACCCCAGAAAGCCTTTTTTTGTCGGGGCTGCCCTGTCCCCACTCCAGCCCCTCAGCATGTCGGGTCCCTTCTTCCCAAAGCCCCTCAGAGCCTCAGCAGGGCTGTTCCCGAGACCCGGTCACTCCGCCTTTCCCCGCCTCCCCCACGCCCTACAGCCCCGGGCCACAGGGACTGTAGGGGTGCCCCAGGCTCCAGTCTGCGCCTGCGCTTTGGGGAGAGCCCCCTCCCTCCGCAACCCAGCACCGCTAAGCGGCACCGGGACCGTGGGCTACGGCTAGGGTGGGATGCGCAGTGGGGGCAAGGTCAGTGCTTTCAAAGAGGGAGGGAGACCCGCCACCGGAACATCCCCCACTCCCGAAAGTTTCCCTTCCGGGGCCACCGAGTGTGCGCGAGGATGGCGCAGGGGGCGGGAGGGGGTGGGGTGGGGGTGGACAAAGTCACAACAGGACCCCTCCCGGGAGAGTGCGGCGGGCGGGAGGGACGGGCGGGCGTCGAGCCGTGGGCCGGAAGCCTCGCCGGCCCTTCAAGCCAAAGCTGCCACGGGAGCCTTTCACGCCACACACCGCGGCCCCCGCCCGGGGCGTGCGGCCCCCCGCCCCCACCCCACAGCCCGTTAAATGCCAAACAGGCCTGGAACTCACCGAAATCAGGTGCTGGGCTCGGCAGGCCCGGTCCGCAGGGTCCATGGCCGCATCTCGGGGGCGGGCGGGGGTGGGGCAGAGAAAGGGGGGTACCGGAGCCGCCTCTTGATGTCAAGGCTTTAAAGGGGCCAGGGAGCCCCGCCTCTCGGCCAGGCCCCGCCTCCCTCCTCCCGCGCAGCCAATCCGAGCTCACCCCGGGTGCGCGCCCCGCCCAACCCTGTCCAGATGTTCCCAGGACGAGAGCTAAGTCTGCCCGGCCGGCGCGCGCCGCTTCCGCCCGGGTGGGCAGGGCCTCCCCTCCCCCCCCACTGAGCCGCCCTCTACCCCCGGCCGGAGCTGACCGGCGAGACCTTTCCAGTGCCCGGGCAGGGGCATGCCAGGCCCGGCAGAGTGGGGCTGGAACGGGGGCATTTAGAACAGAGAAAAACTAAGTAGGTTCGCGCGGGGCCCGCGGGCATGCGCGGCTGCTTCCGTGGGTCTGGGCGTGCACGTGGAAGCGGTTGGGAGCGTGTTTGTAATTTGCCTTTCTGCATACGTGTTGGGTTTAAGTCTATGGCAAGAGGCTTGGCTGTCTCCTTAAATGCTCCCGCCTGTCTTCTCCATCTCCAGAAACTGGGAGCGAGGAGCAGGCGCTGCTTGTAGAAAGCAGTGCTGGTTCAAGAGGCGAGGCAGAGCCAGGCGAGGATTCTGCCTTGGTTTTTAGCCACTTCCTATCAGGGAAGAGGGAAGTGTAATTCAAACTACTGGCATAGAGGAAACAAGCTAGTTAACTTGCAACCTAGGAGCTCAGTACCATTCTCTTCGGTCTGTTTGTTACGATTCTGTTGAGACGGGGTCTCCGTATTACCCTAGGTAGCCAAGAACTCACAGCATAGGCCAAGCTGACCTCGAACTTGAACTTGTCGTCCTACAGCTTCTGCTTCCATTTTGATCCTTAAACACTTTCGCCCTTCGGTGGGCGTACCTTACACCCCTCACGACCTGCACGATACTACGTGGCCTGCACGTACAGGGTCTGAATTCCTCACGGGGGAGTTCGAAGGTATCTTTGGACACAATTTATATTTTATTAAAATCGCTTCTGGCTTAGGTGTACAGGATGAGGCTTAAAGCGAAATTAGCCCTGTTAAAGAGCATAAGCCATAAAGGAAATAGGATGGTCAGGTTGTCTGGTATTAATTTAAGCGTTCCTCTCTGAAGAAAGCGTCTTACAGTGGGACTTTGGAGACGGAGAAAGGGAGTAGGATCCAGGCAGGAATAAGGATGCTGGGTGGGTGGGGTCTAAAAGGCTAATTACCGGCAGGGGACAGCGAGAAATCCCCTTGGTAGGAAGTGGAGAAAGTTAATGCAAGAAGCTTTGCATGGAAAGCAGACTGAGCACGCACGTGAAGGAATCCTTTTGGGTTAAACAACCAAACAACAGCAACAACCAATCCTGAGGGTCTCCCTGTGTAGCTCAGGCCCGGTTTCAAGCTCTCTTTCCGCAGGTGTGCCCCCATGCCCAGAGCTTCGCCCAGACAAGCAGCCACTCTGTCCTGGCGCCTTCACCCTCCTTCCTGATGCTCAGTTATAGCATCTTTAGGGCACCACAGGCCTGATTAATCCTTGCCCAGTTGTCCAGTATTTACTGAACAGGGGTTAATGAGCTAGTCCTGGGAGCATAACAAAAATTAGACAGTTTTCCCCAAAGGGCACTGAAGTCCAATACAAGTGATGTGTGTGTTGCATTAGTGTGCCCTGGGATGGAAACCTCAAGTCTGTCAGGCATTTCTAAGTAGTTTTGAATGTCTGCAAGGACCTGAGTTTTTGGAAGCAAACATCTAGATTGTTTTGTTTTTTTCTTTTTCCGTTTGCACATGCCCGTGCCCCCTTCACGGACCCTTGCACACTTTGACAATCACATTTTGGCGGGCTTTATGCCTCATGCCTTCATCCTTAGAGAGAGACGTGGCCCTCTGGCAAGCCTCCGTGGTTGTTTTCTCTGATGAGGCGCATTACATTTTGACTCCATTTTACTGATCAGCTTACTAAAACTTTGAAGTCCCAATTTGACTCCCCATTCTTACTGTACCTCACTAATCACGCCCTTTCCTTGTTTGTAGTAAGACATGAGCTGGGGTTCTTGGGTGTCTGGGGCTGTAGGCTGCTGTTTACAAACCAGTGTGATATTGAGGCATAGCACAGTGATGGTGACTCCAGAGAGCCATGCCCTCACTGCTCACAGCAGCATTTGAACAGCATACTCCTACTGTTGTTTAAAGATTTTTTTTTTTTTTTTTTTTGTGAGCCGCCTTGTGAGGGCTGAGACTTAACCTTGGGCCTCAGCAACAAGTATGTGGGAGTACTGAGCCGTCTCCCCACGTTCTCTGCCTTAACACTGCATGGCTGACCGCTCAGCGTTGGGGGTCTTCCCTCCATGAAGGCTGACACTTTACTGTCCTGCTGGTTGACGAGATGACCCAGGCTTAGAACTCCTGGCGTTAAGATGTGGTGGGTTGCTAACGGCTTCTTAGCACGCTCTAGCAGGCCTACTCTTCAGTGGCTCAACTCTAGAACACAGCCTGGATGTTACTGCTGCCCAGTGGGAGGGAGAAAGGGGCTGGCTGGTGGTTAGTTTGTTTTCTCAGTAGGAGTAAGCCATTGCCCAGATGCTTTGACATCTCCTACCTGTAGGAGAGGATGGCTCTGCTTACATCCTTCTTTTTTTGAGTTGGACCCAATGGTGCAGGCCTGTAGTCCCTGCTACTCAGGAAGCTCACAAATTCCAGGCTTGCCCCGGCTACAGAGTGAGTTCAAAGGCCAGCTTGGACAACTGAATGAGACCCTATCTCAAAATAAAAGTGAATAAAGGGCTAGCGGTAGAGTGCTCGCCTGGCATGTGTGAGGCCCTAGCTCACAGCTTTACTCAGTGTTCTGTGCCAGGTGCAGTGCATAGTATTAAGGTAGGAAGCAGGGGTGACTTTGGGAAAGTAAGCAATGTGAAAAGCATTCTTTATCCCAAGAGCAAAGCAGAGCCTTTGCATGGTTTTAGACCAGCGTTGGGGGACCGCTGGAGGGATGCATAATCAGATTGATATTTTGGGTTTTTTGTTTGTTGTTTGTTTGATTTGTTTTTCCAGACATGGTTTCTCTGTGTAACAAACCCTGGCTGTCCTGGACTTGCTTTGTAGATCAGGCTGGCCTCGAATTCACAGAGATCGGCCTGCCTCTGCCTCTGCTGGGAGTTAAGGCGTGGGCCACCGCTCCTGGCTTCAGACCTGTATTTTGGAAGGATCGCTGTGGTTACAGTTTGGACAGAGATGAGACTAAAGTCACAGCCACAAGACAGAAAATAGTTAGGACAATTGGGGAGAAAATGGGCAGTGATGTGGTCTGGGTTAGGTAGGTAATGCAAGCGGTGAGTTTAGATTCATAACTGGGTGGTGGTGGTGCTGCTCAGCTTTGATCCCAGCGCTCAGGAGGCAGAGGCAGGCAGATCTCTGAGTTCCAGGACAGCCTCGTCTACAGAGTGAGTTCCAGGACAGCCAGGGATACACCGAGAAATCCCGTCTTGAAAAAAGAAAGAAAAAGAAATTCGTAGCAGGCTAGGCATGGTGCATGCCTTTATCCCATTTCTTGGGAAGCAGAGGCACATGGACCTCTGGGAGTTCAAGGCCAGCCTGGTCTAGTATCAAGATTCAGGATGGACAGGGCTATACGATAGAGATACCATGTCTCAAGAAATCAAACAAACAAAGAAAGAAGATGAAGTACACAGCAGCAGAGGCGGTGGACCCTGAGGCTAGAGGGGGAGGGGGCAGAGAGGAGGTCAAGACATTTAATCTACTTTGCAGGCAGTAGGGCTGCTCAGCCACTTGCTGCCTGTCCAGGGTTAGTGCTCCCTTCCCAGGTGCTGCTGCTCCTCGGGGAGGTTAGGGACGCTGCACATCAACAGGAGCTATTGGGATAATGCAAGCGCCCTGAGACAGTCTTGTCTGTGCTGTATTGCATCGTCCCACACAGGAAAATCCGCCGTTTCCTCTGTGTGCCGTGATGTGAAAAGGCTAGGAGGCTAAAACTCATTTCTACGTGGGACATGAAAGCAGAACAGAGGCCAGGGGAAGAAGGAGATGAGCAGAAATGGAGGAAAGCGTGCTATGAAAGGACGAATGTGGTCTGGTCAAGATGCATGCTTTTATGATGCCCAGCATTTCGTACAGTGAAGATATACCAGAAAAAAAAAAAAAAAAAGGTTGGGGTAGGGCAAGATAGATGGCGCAGACGTCAAGAGCACTGCCTGCTCCTCTAGAGGACCTAGGTTTGATGCCCAGCGCCCATGAGGAGGCTTACAACCCTCTGTGACTCCGGTTTCTGGGACTCTAACACCCTCTTCTGGCCCAGCAGACACCAGGCAGGCACGTAGTGCACAGACACACACGAAGGCAAGACACTCACAAGCATAAAAACTTATAAAACTTGGAAGCTTTTGGATAAATAATTTTGAAGCTTGAGAGGATTTGGACTAAAGAGATCTATGAGTCATTAAAGGTGGGGACAGCTGAAGCCACAGGGTGGAGGAGGCGATGCAGGAGGAGACAGGGGGTGCTGCAATTGAACCCCAAGGAATACCAAGAAGACAGGGGTCTCCAGACAGGAGAGAGAAGCAGAGTCCAAGCACCAGCCAGCTCCACTGCTGTGGAGGTGGAGTCACATTCTTGGTGACTTTAGCCACACATCACTGGAGCCGGCAAAACCAGAGTCTGCACAGCTGGGAAAGACACACGGTAACGGAGACGGGAAGTGTTCAAACCTTCCAGGAACCTTGGCTGTGCTGTTAGAGGAAAGGCGGAGATGAGCCAGTGAGGGTCAGGGCGTCTGCAAGAGCATTCCAGCCAGCTCCCGGCAGGCACTGCTTCGTTGAGAGGACTATTTAATCTCTTGAACGTACGTGCCAGGGGCACGTGCAGCCAGTACGCTGCCACACACACTCCAGGGCCGCAGTTAGGACCGTTAGCACCCTCGTGGAAAAGCACGCTGTGGTGGTGCACACTCGGACACTGGCGTCACCCGCGAGGGTGGGTCTCTGCAGCTCGCCGACCGGCCTAGTCTCCTGAGGCGTCCCGAGTTCAGGGTGGACACTGTCTCAAAAACAGGATGGAGCGATAAGGGAAGATACTTGACCATCTCTGGCCTCCATAAGCACACGCACACACACACACACACACACACACACACACACACACACCCCGCGTGCACTCCTACACACCAGCACACATGCACAGCGCGTAGGGCAGGAAGGGCTCTTGGTGAGCACCAGCAGGAGGGTGTGAGGTGGCTCCGTGTGGGGGAGTGTGTGCTGTAGTCCTAGCTCCGACACGGGGCCGGCAGCCCCGGGAGGACCCTGGTGTGCCCCCTTGGCTGACCGCTGGGCCGGGCTCAGCAGGGTGGTGGCCACTGCCCCGCAGCCCGGGGACCTGAGCTGGTGCTTCTGTGCGGCACAAGTGCGTCTGCACACACACTCAGACACACACAGGCACGCGCTCTGTTTGCACACACATGCACAAACACACACTGAATTCACACACATGTACACTGCACTCACAAACAAGCGCACACACGCACACTGCGTTTACACACACCGCATTCACATGCATGCACACTGCATTTACACACACCGCATTCACATGCATGCATGCAAGGGCACACCACGCTGCATTCACATACATAAGCACACACACACACATACTCTACATGCACATATACACGCACACACACTGCATTCACATGCACATATACACGCACACACTCACACACACGCACACACACTGCATTCACATGCATAAGCACTCACACACACACACACACGCACACACACTCACACACACGCACACACACTGCATTCACATGCATAAGCACTCACACACGCACACACACTCACACACACGCACACACACGCACACACACTCACACACACACTCACACGCACACACACGCACACACACTCACACACACGCACACACACTCACACACACTCACACGCACACACACTCACACACACGCACACACATGCACACACACTCACACACACACACACGCACACACACTGCATTCACACAAACGCACATGCACGCCCACTGCACACATGCACAAGCACACACTCACATACCCCCATGTACACACACTGTGTTCGCTGAACCTGCTTATACAGTTATTGTGGTTTTCTGTTGTTCCTCGTTTATTACCTTGAATGTGTGTGATCTTTGCAGTGTGTTTCTTACATGTGTTTATTGTCATGGAGGGCACATGCCATTGTGCACCGGGCACATGTGACCAGCTGAGCCATCTTGTCTGCCCTAGCTTTTTTGTTTTGTTTTTCAAGACAGGGTCTCTCTGTGTAGCCCTGGCTGTCCTGGAACTCCCTCTGTAGACCAGGCTGGCCTCGAACTCAGAGATCCTCCTGCCTCTGCTTCTCAAGTTCTGGGACTACAGGCGTGCGCCACTGTGCCTGCCTCCTGGTTTGTTTTTCTGACATAGAATCTTGCTGTGTAGCTCGGGTGGCCTCTGGCCTTGGACTCGCCACCTCCTGAGTGCTGGGTCACCGGTGTGAATGCTGTCTACCTTTTTTTTTTAAAGAGAGAAAAGCAGGATCTTTTCCATTCCTCTTTAGAAGAGGCTCTGGCTACGTCGCCCAGGCTGACTCACAGTCCTCAAGCTTGAAAGTCTCCTTAATGCTGAGATCACAGGCAAGTACCACATCCAACCGAAAGTGGATTTTGTTTTGTTTTGTTTTGTGCTTGTGAGACAGGGTTCCTCTGTGTAGCCCTGGCTGTCCTGGGCTCACTCTGTAGATCAGGTTGGCCTCGAGCTCCGAGATCCACCTGCCTCTGATCACGAGCGCAGGGATTAAAGGTGTGCGCCACCACCACACAGCCAAAAGCAGAATCTTAACACTCACACCAGTGTTATCTTGGAGACCTTTCCTTCTCAGCACGTGTGTGTGTGTGTGTGTGTGTGTGTGTGTGTGTGTGTGTGAATATGGAGGCTAGAGGAAAACTTGGGGTGTCATTCCTAAGTCCCCCCCCCGTGTTTTGTTTTTTTTTTTCAACAGGATTTTACTGTGGAGCCTTGGTTAGCCTGGAGCTCTAGGTGACCAGGCGAGAGCACATGGGCCACTAGTGGTTGCAGTGTTGTTTGGTTTTTAATATTTATTTCGTATGTATTTTGTGTAAATGAATGTTTTTCCGGAATGTAAATCTTGCACACCAGAGGAGGGCATTGGTGCCCGTGGGACTGTGGGTACAGGTGGTTGTGAGCTGTTATGAGCCACCATGCTTGCGCTGGGTCTTGAACTTGGGACCTCCGGGAGAGCAGCCCCCGCTCTTAACGGCTGGGCTGTCTCCCCACCTCTGCACTGCAACCTTGTTTCTATTTTTAAAGACCTGTGTGTGCCAATGCTGTGCCACGTTCAGCAGCTGGCCCTAAATTTCCACTTGGTTGAGACAGCATCGCTCTAGATTCTGCTCCACTGAGGGCCCAGGCCCGCGGACCCGTGAGCCTCTGTGCCCCGTCCATCCCGTCCCGCTGCCCGCGTCGGGAGAACTCATATGGCTTCTCCTACGCGGGTCCTAGTGACTGAACTGGCAGTTAGGCTGGCACTGCTAGTGCCCTGAGCGGCTGAACCCCTCCCCGACCCTCCGATCCCTCGCCGCGTGTTCTGAGCTCACCAGGTAGGACGAGGCTGGCCAAGGAGCCCGGGGGATCTGGGTGTCCCTCCTTCCGCGGCTCTGCGATTACAAGGCTGGCATCGCTAGCTCTGTAGTGGGCTCTGAGGACCAAACCCTGGCCCGCATGCACTGGAATGGCAAGCAGTTTCCTGAGCTGTCTCCCGGATGGATTATTATTACTTTGTCCTTTTACAACTGCAGTTTTGGCTATTTCTTGGTTTGTTTTCAGCTACTCGTGTGTGTCAGGTAGTTATAATGTTTTAACATTACATATATACCCTTGCATTCTTATGCATATCCACAGGATAAATCCTTTACAGTGTAATTTCTAAGTAGTATACACTTTAATAAATTCTGACAACTGTCTTCCAGAATAGCCATGTTAATTTACATTCCCACTAATGGCGCAAAACCACTGTTTTCTTTGTATGCACGTGGGTGTTTTGCTTGTATGTAAGGGACACACAGGTCTGGTGTCCATGGAGGTCAGAAAGGGGCCTTGGATCCCCAGGCTGGAGTTGCAGAAAGTTGTGAGCTGTGGGTGCTGGGAGTTGAACCCAGGTCCTCTAGAAGAGCGGCCAGTGCTCTTACATCACTGAGCCATCTCTCCAGCCCTCACCACCACTTCAGAAACAACAACAGCACCCAGAAGCTGATCAGTATCAGACTAATCCAAGAAACGAATTCTTCATCATTTATTGTAATATGATTTACATGATTAAGCCAGTTTTCAGTCAGGCTTGGCAGCTGACCTTGTAGCCTCAGCGTTTGGGAGACTGAAGCAGGAGGGTTGCCGTGAGTTCAAGGCCAGCTGCAAGGCCCTGTCAGCAAAGAAACAACATGTGTTTAAAATATGTGCTTATTATTTTCTTTCTTTTTTTAAAGACTCATTTATACAGGATCCTGCCTGCATGTGTGCCTGCGGGCCAGAAGAGGGCACCAGATCTCACCATAGATGGCTGCGAGCCACCATGTGGTTGCTGGGAATTGAACTCAGGACCTTTTGAAGAACAGCTAGTGCTCTTAACCTCTGAGCCATCTCTCCCCCTCTACTCCGCCTTTTTGAGACAAGTCTTTCTATGCAGTCCTGGCTGTCCTGGAACTCTCTATGTAAAACAGGCTGGCCTCCAACTCACAGAGTTCCACTTGCCTTTGCCTCCTCAGTGTTGGAATTAAAGGTATGGGCCACCATGCCTGGCCTGCCATTATTTTTCATGGATGTCTTTACTGATATAGTCACAAATTGTGTGTGCCATTAGTCCTTTTTCACAGACGTTAAAATAATTGTAGTTGGCGCTCATGAAAGTTTGTGTTTCTCCCCCTTTAGCCTGTGGCTTCTGAGTGTTCTCGTGTGGAAAGTACTCAGAATTTACAGTTGCTCCTGTTCTGACAGCTGCCTGTTCCAGCCTGCCCTGTGTGTCTGGCCACAGGACCCCTCTCTCCAGCTCACAGGAGACTGTTCCTTGCCCATCATCTCACACCCTTCAGCGTCAGCTCACCTCCCGCGCCCTTTGTAGCTCACAGAGCACACTCCTGAAGCTCTGTGATCGCATCAGCTGGTACCGGCTTCCCCCTGTCAACTTTAATTTGCAGAACAGGCTGAATTTACCCTCTGAAGATCCAGGGCTGTTTAAATCTGCTCCCGGTTCTATTCCGAAGCAGCTAAGAGCAGGACGGGCATAGGGAAGGAAGCGGACATGATGCCTCCCGAAAGTACTGGAACCAGCCACGTGTGGCAGACGAGTATCCGAAACATGGCTGATCTAGATGGAGACTGCTCCGTGTGTATTTAGGTGTGAGAACCAGAGACTCCAGTATTATGGTACGGGGTGAGGGGGAGGGGCTGGGGTCTTTCCTGCTAAAGAAGTGAAAGCATTTTGGAGATGCTTGCTTACACACCTAAAGCTTTTTATTTTTCAGATGCAGGATCTTGTCAGTGTAGGTTGGCCTAGAGCTCAGCTGTGTAGCCCACACTGTCCTCAAACTCAGCTTGCCAGTACCAAGACTGTGGATGACTGTCCCCACACCCAGCTCATGGCTTTCTGTTTTTTCTTTTCAAACATTACAGTATATCCAGGCTCATTCTCTACATGTGTCATGAGGCCTGAAAACGCTCAGTGTGCTTGGTGTTAGGCCTTAGTCACGCTGCTGTGCTCTCAGGACAGTGTTCTCATGGTCTTTGTGGCTCTAAAGCAGTTGCTGCCTGCCTGGTTCTGGGGCCTCAATGAGCACTGCTTCTGCATTCCTCCTAACTGCCACACACTCGAGGACGGACAACGGTCCTCCCACCCGCTCCCTCAGGAGCATGCCACCAGTGAGCAGCCACCAATGAGCAGCTCTGACTCACAACTAAAGGCTTCCAAAGCTGAAGCGCCCTCATTCTAAGTGTGCGGATGCTCGCCTGTGATCCCAGCAGAGTGATCCCGGAGGCAGAGGCAGGTGGATCTCTGGGAGTTCGAGGCCAGCCTGGTCTACAAAGCGTGTCCAGGACAGCCAGGGCTACACAGGAAACCCTGTCTTGAACAACAAAAACAAAAAACAATCCCCACAACCCCCTTCCCCCAAAAAAGTGTGGAGATGAAGGCCCTGCATATCCTTTGTCACTGGGACCATTTTCTGCCATCAAGTTGTTTGGGCCAGCTGGGCACGGTGGTGCACACCTTTAATCCCAGCACTTGGGAGGCAGAGGCAGGTGGTCTCTGTGGGCTGGAGGCCAGCCAGGACCACAGAAACAAAACCAAAATCAAGACAGGAGCTGTTTAGGCCGAGTTCTATTTGGGGCTTCCAGAGCCAGTCTGGTAGCAGGAGGCTCCCGTTAGTAACAAATCACAAGCTTAGTGGTTTGAAACAACTTATACTTATTCTTATAATCCCAGAAGCCAGAAATCTAAAACGACGGTGCCAGCGGCTGCACACCTTCTAGAGAATCCAGGGAAGGATGTGTTCCCTTGCCTGCTCTAATGCAGGAGGCGCCTGCATTCCGTGGTCTGCAGCCCTTCCTTATTACCACCTAAGCTTCCATCATTACATGTTCTGTGGTTAACCCTCCTGAGCTCATGTTCACAGGCTACTGGGATCGGTGTGTGGACATCTCGGGAGTCTGCTGGGAAGCCTGTCATGGTCCACATACCATTCTCTGCACAGCCTTGGTAACGGGTGATACAGCCCCCAAGTAGTTAAGGTGTTGCTGCCGGAGGACAAGGAACCTCAGAGCTGCCTTCCTCTGTGAGCACTCTGAGGCCACCGTGCCCATTTGCAATGTTCGGTGGCCCTCGAGGAATCAGAGCTTGTAACAGCACTTCCTTATCCTGGAAAGCAACGAGACACAAGATCCTTATTTTCTGCCATGTTTTCCCTTCTAAGCCTTTGCTCCAATTGTAGCCTGCAGCACGTTCACGGAGTGCCATCACAAAGTACAGCATCTTATTTTTGTTAAATAATTTCTTCCGCAAAATTCCCTCTCACCTGGGCTTGGGAAGAGGAGCACACAGCCTCAGCTGTCTAGGTGAAACTAAGGCTGAAGACAGGACACGGACTGGAGGCAAGTGCTGCCTCAGGCATGCGGTAAGTGGGATTTACACGTGTTGGCAGAATTTGCTGGACTTTGTACCTGTTTCGATGTAGGGAGTAGACAGGAGCTAACTGGCGTTTCTAGCGTGTCCATAAATGAACACAACAGGGCCAGGTTGGGTTTGGAAACGGTTATTTTGCTTTTGGGATATGCTGAAATGACATATGTGAGACGTCTAATAACTACTTCAGGGGATTATGATTACACAACGGGGAACTATTGTCTGGAGCTCGGGGAGTGGGAGACCAGTCTATTCAGGAGGGTGCGGGTAAGTTAAAGGAACAGGAACAGAAGGCCTTTTTCTGGAAAAAATGTTCAGGAGTCTAGACAAAATCCTAAGCCATCAAACTGTCTCTTCCACTGGTGTCAGAATCAAGGGGCCTGCTAAAAACAGAACCTTTGCTGTGAATGTACTCAATTCCATGGAACTGTAAACTTAAAAATGGCCAGCATGAGCTGGGCACGGTGGTGCACGCCTGTATTCCCAGCACTCGGGAAGCAGAGGCAGGCAGACCTGTGAGTTCGAGGCCAGCCTGGTCTACAAAGTGAGTCTAGGACAGCCAGGCCTACACAGAGAAACCCTGACTTGGAAAAAACAAACAAACCAACAAACCAAACGGCTAGCTCAGGGCTGGAGAGATGGCTCGGCACTTAGCGCTGGCTGCTCTTGTGGGGTCAGGAATCCCTGCGGCCAGCACACCACCATCGGTTAACGCCAGTCCTGGGGAGCCAGTGCCCTCCTCTGGTCTCTTTGGGAACTGCATGTACACAGTGCACAGAAAAAAAAAATACACATAAAATAAATAAACATTTCAAAAATGGCGTGGTGATAAAAGAATACAAGGCCAGGCATGAAGGGAGGAGCCAGAGGCAGGAGGAGCTCAGTGAGTTCAAGACCAGCCTGGTCAATATAACTACACTCCAAGACAGTAAAGACCCCATAGAGATACCCCGTCTCACAAACCAAACAAAAACAAAACTCCAAAAAGTTCTGTGCTTGATTCTTGGTCCTGAAACTCAGGGGAGGGAGAAGCGGGGAGGAGGGAAAAGCAAGACTGCTGAGCGGCACTGCAGACCCAAATCACTACCTCCCTCAGGGTTCAGAACTTAATGCTTTTACTTACTGGTGGGGGAGGAGGGAGGGAGGGTCTTACTATTACTTAATAAATAACCCCTTAAGAACTGGAAATGAGCCTCGGTGACGGACCATTTGCCAAGCACACAACAAGACTCTAAGCTTGATCACAAGCACATTAAAGTACTTCCAAAAGCAGTTTCATTTCCCAGGACCGACCACACTCTCCATCTGGACCGCCTAGTTCAGCTCTCTATGAACTCGTCCCCCCCCCCGGGGGGGGGGTGGTCCTAACACCAGAGGACACTGACACTTGGCCAAGAGCTCCCGGCAGGTGTCCTGCGGCCTGAGCGCTCCGGGAAGTGCTGTTCTCAGTGTAAAAGCTCTACAGCATCTTTGCTCTGTGCTTCAGTGTTAACCTGTCCCCGACCCCCTTCTGACAGCGGGTCGGGGGCCGGCCGAGCGCCCGAGGTGTGCTCTGCTCTGAAGAGCAGAAGGCTTCGGTCCCAGCTGGTGTTGCCGAAGCAGCACACCAATTCCATCCCCTGCTCCTGCGTCAAGATCCGCACAATCTGGCTGGCCATGTCGCCTCGGATGGCGAGCGAGCGGAAGTGGTCGAAGGCGTGGAGTCCCAGCTTCCGGAGGCGCCGCGCGGCTGCCCGGTAGCACTTCCAGGGCTGCGGCTCCACCAGCAGGTAGCGGCCGAGGGAGGAGACGTGGGCCAGGAACTCGCACAGACCGCGGTCCCCGTGGTTCAGGTGGATCCACATGGTCACGGACATGCAGAACACGATGTCAAACGCAGAGCGCCCAAACTGGCTCAGGAAAGAACGCAAGGGAACCGCCCTGTTGCTGCGGTCCATGATGTCCAGGGTGATGAAGGTCACAGCATCAGGAAAGGGACACTGGTTTTCCGCGCGCTGCACAAGGACCGGATCTATATCGCAGCAGAGGAGGCGGAGCTCGCTGGAGGCGCCGGCGCAGGTCTCCCCGTCACGCCGGGAAAGGAAATGTTTGTACAGGGCCACACTCAGATCCTAGGAATCCAAAAGAGCCTTGTCATTGCAGCTCTCAAGCCGCATGGAAAAGAAACCTCTCATCTTTTGAGACTGCCACTTACCCCTGCCTGTATCCGAAAGAGGCTTTTAACAATCATCTATAAAGACTACATTTCCTGAGCAGACTCTCAGCGCCCCCCGGGGGCTGCAGGCTGTAATGCACCCGCCCTACACCCTACAGTCTATTTTAACTTTATTTTTCTCTCCTTTAGGACAGTTTCTCTATGCAGCCTTGGCATCACTCTGTAGACCAGGCTGGCCTCGAACTCACAGAGATACACCTGCCTCTGCCTCCCTAAGTGTTGGGATTACAGGCCGTGCACCGGGCTTTGTTTTGAGCCTTAAGTGGGTTCCATTCAAACTCACCATGTAGCTGAGGATAGCCTTGAACTCCTATCCCTTGCCTCTGCCCCAGTGATGTGTGTGATTACATGCATGCCCCATGCCTGGCCACCTGTGTCTTGACAATGACAACAGATGGAGTTGGGTGGGTGTAAGTTATAGTCCAAATGACATGGCAAAGGCGGTGAAGAGCCCAGAGCAGTGTTTTCCAGCTTAAACGATACACTGGCAAATTCACCATCTTTTTCTGGGTGTCTCATATCCAAAGGAAAGTTCAGAAGTTGAGTGGCGTGCCTCGTCAGGAAGGTGGCGAACAGAGCAGCATCTTGTAAAGTCTGCTTCTGGGATGTGCCTCGCAGAGTCTGGGTTCTAAGGCAGTTCTCCAGCCTTCAACTCTACAGCCTTCAACTGCGCGAGCTGCACCACCTCCTTCTGAAGCTCACTCTACTTTTGTAGCAGTCACTCTTCAAAGCTGTTGTGAATCTTTCTAGCTTAGCGTAATGACATGATCTTACCACCACATGATCTTAGGACGCTTTTGAGTCTCAAATGAGGCACCATCTCCTCTGTCATCTATGTATAATACATATATATATTATACATATATATAATATACATATATATTTTAATACGGTGTTGTTTTATACAGTTTCTTCCAAGGCATTTTCTTATTACCTCTGCATCTTTTCATGCAGGTAAGAACACTCCCACTCAGATGTCCACTAACAGTAGCACAGGCAAGAAAGTAACAGTCAGCAAGGTAGATTATTGCAACAGTGTAACATTGGAGAGCTTCTCAGTGCACCAAAATAGAATACTTTCAAACACATACTACCAAGTAGAACATCAAGCCACAATGAAAATATATGGCAAGTTTCCTTTTTTGTTTGTTCATTTGTATTTTAAGCCAAATCTTACTATGTAGGCCAGCCTGGTCTCTTAATATCTTGTGATCCCCCTGCCTCAGCCTCCCAAATGCTGGTATCACAGGCACGTGCTGCCATACCGGGCATGCAAGTTACACAAAATCCCAAAGTGGGAGAACTATATTATTTAGTGTTAAAAGGGGAGTAAGATACAAACAAAAGCAGGACAATGACAGGTGAGTTGTGACCTGTTGGTAGAGGGCTTTTAGGAATAGGAAATGGCACATAGAGAACTTTGGGGGTACTGACAATGATTTTTTTTTCTGACTATGGTCATGGAGGTGTTTGCCTTATAATTCATAAAGTGCAGGCTTATGTTTTATGTACTTTTATGAAAGTATAGAATAATCCACAAAAAAAAAAAAACCCTGCATTTTAAAAATTACGGATTGAAACCTGGCATGGTGGCACACACCTTTAGTCTCAGCACACAGGAGGCGGATCTCTGTGAATTTGAGGCCAGCCTGGTCTGTTTTAAAATATATATATATGTATATGTGTGTGTGTATAATACACACACATATACATATAAATTATGAATGAGGTTATTTGCCTCTCTAAAGTCACATGACCACTGACATAGAGTTATGGTACATTAAGCTCCTTCTTTCATACCAGGCTTTCCTTTCTTTCTTCTTCCTCCTTCTCTTCTTAAGACATGGTTTTTCTGTGTAGCCTGGCTGTCCTGGACTCACTTTGTAGACCAGGCTGGCCTCCACCTCAGAGGTCCGCCTGCCTCTGCCTCCCAAGTGCTGGGATCAAAGGTGTGCGCCACCACCACCACCCATTTTTTTTTTTTTAACTATTTAAAAAATTACTTTTTAAACGTATATGCATGTGTCTTGGTGCTTATACGTGCCGGGTGTGTGGTGCCTAGGTGCTGGGAACTGAACTCAGGTCCTCTGCAGGGGCAGCCAGCACTCCTATGCCCCTAGCCCCTCTAACAACACACACAAGCCACCTGGGGCCATCTTAAACACACAGGCTGACCTAAAAGACAGGGCCAAGATTCTGCATTTCTAACGAACTGCGAAGCCACGCTAACATTGTAGTTCAGAGTCAGAGCTGAAGGCACAAGGACCCACATCACGCCGATGAATCTCCTCCTACCTCAGTTTGCTCCCCTCCTATCTGACCCTGTCAACATAATGAGGCCAGCCAGTGAGCCTCTGTGCAAAATAAATGCGTACTCTAGGTCATCTGCCTCAGACAAGTGCAACTGTGTCCTCTCTGTTGTGCTTTCAGCCTTAAAACCTTCGGCGGCTTCCTGATTCCTTTCAGGAAATCTCTTTATCTGTTCCCTGCTCTGGTCTCCTACGTTATGGTGAGGTTTGCAAGCAACACACACCCAGCTGCTTATTTCAGTCTACACCCAAAAGCTCTCCTCAAGGTCTTCAACCATCCACCACTGCTTTTTTTTTTTTTTTGTAGTTTTTGGAAACAGGGTCTCATATAGCCCAGGCTGGCCTCGAACTTGCGGGGACGGCCACTGTTGTCTTTATACGTGGCATTCCTCGTGGGCAGAAAGGCCACCATCATAGTAAAGGGCTCTACGTCCCCCTACTCTGCAGTGACGGGGATGCGGAGTCACGGTCCTAACTTCGGAACCACCTGCAATCCTGCGGTAAAACTGCCTGGCCCACTAAGATATCCACTCAGTGGCTACCAATGCGCGCGACTGGCGTTTCCTTATTTCGCACCTGGTTTGCCTATAATCATTACGCGCCTGACAGCCCTTTGCGGTGGGAGGGTGGCCAAGGCCTCCCTCCTCTGGCAGGGAGATCTGTTTTCTTTCTTGATCCTCTCTGCTGTTAGCACAAGTGTAAGTAAACACACACCCGGCTCCAGGTCTGTCCTGCACGTCTGGAGCCTTAAGTTTCAGACACGATTCTGTCACCCTGGCTCTCCCTCTTCCCAGATGTGGGTTGTGGGAGCCCGTTCCCTAGTCAAGGCCAGCAAAGCGGGGGAGGAGGCAAACGTGCAGACCAGACGGTCAGGCGGGAATCCGGCACGAACCGGGGACTACTCAAAACGCCTAACACGGGGGTGGGGACGAGGAGGACGTCACAGGGTCAACGCCAGGCGTCAAAAGCCCACTCTGGGCACGTTGGCTGCCACGCCCGGGCCAGCACCCCAGAGCGCGTGGGGCACCTGCTGGGCTCCCCGGCGCTCCGAGCCCTCCCGCGGCACTCACCCCGGAGTTACACCCCACGTCGAGCCCCAGGACCGGCCTCCTCTCGGGACCCCCGGGAGGGAAGAGCCGCCGAAGAAGCTCCGGGGGCAGAAGGCGGAGCCTTTGCTCGGGAGGGTGGAAACGGGAGTAGTGAGGGAAGTTTCCGAACGGGGCGGCCCCGGGCTTCCGAGCTGCCGGATCCCCGTCCTCCGCGGCCTCGTCCACGAGCCCTCCTGCCCACTTCCCGGATGCCGCCATCAGCCTCGGGCCCCCGGTCCCCGGCGGAACCGGAAGCCAGGAACCTGCGGTGGGGGAGGGCGAGCGCAGCGCCAGTGCGCGTGCGCTCGGGGGAAGTGGGCGGGATGAGCCCAGTGCCTGGTCCCGGGTTGTGGTTGGAGGTCGCGATCGTTCCCTCTTACTTAATGGATTTGCCCAAGTTGAGGTTGAGGTCTTGGGGATCAAGTTGGTCCAACTTCCTTTCCTTTCAAATGAACAAAGCGGGACCCAAAGGAGCAAAAGTAGTTGTCTGGGGGTAGGGTGGGAGTGCGTGTGTCCTGTGATGGGGTCACCCAGTGAGACTGTGGCACAGGAACTCACTCCTGGTTTAGTAAAAGGTAGTTGGAAGCTATAGATCACCTGAGGTGCTGGAAGACCTGTCTGTCCTGAGGGACAGGCGGACAATAGTGACTACGGGCTGCACCGCTGAGGATGGACTTACAACACTGGTATACTTACCATAACCCGCGGTGCAGAGATGTCCAGTAAATGTCTGTAGAATGAAAACTATGCTGGAGGCAAATACATGGCGCCGCCGCATCTACCTGGGACAAAGAAAATGGGAGGGAGAAAGGCGTTAACTTGAAGAGGGGAGATGAAGTTAGCGGGCCGAGGGCTGCAGCGATGGTTCAGTCAGGAAATGCTTGCTGGGTGGGCATGTGGATCTGAGTTCGGGTCTCCAACACCCAGATAATAAGCTGGAGTTGGTGGTGCATGGCGGTAACCCCAGAGCTGGGGGGGGTAGAGACTCATCCCTGGGGTTTGCTGGCTAGGTAGACTCGCGCACAGAACACACCTGCCACTAACCTCTGGCCTGCACACGCATGTGCAGGCACATAGGAAATAGGTGTTGAAGAGAGAGGCTGTGGCGTCAGCTGTCTTAACCCCACTGTTGCTATGAAGAGGCACGTGACCAAAGCAACTCTTAGGAAAGAAGCATTTAATTAAAGGCTTGCTACCGTTTCAGAGGTTTAATCCATTATCTTCATGGTGGGGAGCATGGCGGCACTGGAGCGGTAGCCGAGACCTACAGCCTGATGAGACCTTCATCTCGATTCATAGGCAAAGAGAGGGGTTCTAGCCTTGCCACGGGTTTTTGAAACCTCAGAGCCCACCCCCAGTGACTCACTTCCTCTAACAGGGTCACAGCTAATCCTTCTAATCCTTTCAAAGAGTTTTTCTCCGTGGTGACTCAGCATTCAAACGTGGGGTCCGTTGTTCTCACTCAAGCCATCACACAGCCTCATCAGCAAGGTCAGGTGAGAAGTGGGGCTAGCCCAGCGCATCACACAGAACCAGCCAGGGCAACCGTGTTCCGGCCAGCCCCTCTTATGGAGACCTTCCACCCAAGGAGGCCAGTGATTTGCTGAACTTCTAAGACTTCTATAGAAGGACCAACAGGGTTCAAACTAGTCTCCAGGGATGGCCCACCTCATGAAAACATGTGTTTTGTTTTAACTTTTTGACAGGATCTCCAGGTGTAGTCCAGGTTGTACTTGAACTTGCATGTAGCAGAGGACGACCTTGAACTCTTGGTCCTCTGCTTCCATCTCCCACATGTTAGGATTATGACAGGCCACCATGTCCAGCTGAGGCCCATTTCTTTTCTTCTCAGTTTTTACTTTGTTCTTTCATCTCTGTCTGATCTCCTGTTTTGCTTTTTTTCTTACACAATTCAAAGACATGAGGCAATGACCAAAAGTCACAGTGGAACTAAGTAAAACCCAGTATTTTATACAACTTCCAGAGAATCTGGGGAGAAAATCAGGAGTATTTCTTTCTGTCCTCCATAGGTGTTGTTTGTTTGTTGGGGAGACCCTGTATTCCGGTGGGGCCCGAGCTCATTACATGACCCATTCTGGCTCTGAGCAATCCTTCCTCATCTCCTGAGTGCTAGAATGACTGTGTGACCTCTTTGCTGGCCAGAGCTAGGTAAGCTGAGTTAACCCCGTGTTGTCACTAGATGATGGAATCACAAACACTTATCCACCCTCAGTCTTCAAGGAGCCTGAGTCACCTTTGCTAAACAACGTTTTTTGTGTGTCTTCAAGCACTCAATGAAGGCACTGCTTTTTTTTTTTTTTTTTTTTTCTGTTTATATCAGTCAGGAATTTAATTTCCTTAGGAGGTGGGCACATCTGTGAGTTTTCAAAGCACTGTTGACCAGGAGAGAAATGGGCAGCAGGAAAGAGGGTGAAGGACAGCTTCTTCCATGTTACAGGGGATCTTCCAGATTACAGGGGTTCTCCAGAAGCATAGACAGGTGCTGGTCTGACGGTGCCCCTGGCGACCTAAAATGCTTTAGAAGTGCCCCTGTAGTGAAGCACTTTAACTTGACCCATTCTGCTCCTTTTCTATCACGTGTGCATTTCATGGAGCCCGATCACCCCAGGTTTCTGGTCCTGCTGTGTGAAAAACCAGCCTACTACAGTGGTGGCAGGTCCTGGAGCGTGTTCTGAACTTTGGTCGGCTAGATTTTGTGGCATCTGATTGATGCCTTAGGCTCTTCTCTGGGTCAGGGGTCAGGACTAGTGACAGAGGATGAGTCCTCTGTGAGAAAACAAAACAAAACAAAACAAAACAAAACAAAACAAAAACGAACCACCAAGTTATAAACACCAAACTGTAGAAGACAAAATTTACTTATAATTGTTACATAGTTTAAATGTTAGCATTTATCAAAAACATCATGAAAATTCCTGTAATAGTTGGATTAATTAATTGAGCGATGCTTGCATTAGAATGTTACCCCCCCCTTTTTGCTGAAGATAAGTAGAAAGGTAATTCAGTCTTTTTAGCACGGTGGGTCAGATTTCCGCTCGTGCTTGAGCTTTTGAAAGTTTCTAGGGATGTAACTGTTGGCAGTGTTTGCCTGGCACAAGGCCCCGGGCTCAGTTCTCAGCACAACATAAAGACCGCAGTTCTTGCAACCCTAGCACCTTAGGGATCAGAAGTTCATGGTCAGCTGAGGGTGGTGGCGCACGCCTGTGATCCCAGCACTCGGGAGGCAGAGGCAGGCAGACCAATGTGAGTTTGAGGTCAGCCTGGTCTACAGAGTGAGTCCAGGACACCCAAGGCTACACAGAGAAACCCTGTCTGGAAAAACCAAATAGTTTGAATTTGAGTCCAGCCAGGGATGCAAGAGACTCTGTCTCAAAAAAAAAAAAAAAAAAAAAAAAAAAAAAAAAAAAAAAAAAAAAAA